TCCACTGGGTGCCGCTCCGCTACCCCTCACCCCCGGGGGAGGGGAGACTGGAAAACCCGAGAGTGTCACATCCCAGAGCCCCGGGCTGGAAACCCGCATCCGCTCCGCTACCCCTCACCCCCGGGGGAGGGGAGACTGGAAAACCCGAGAGTGTCACATCCCAGAGCCCCGGGCTGGAAACCCGCATCCAAACATAGTTGTAAAGAAAAGTTTTCAACCCGCCCCACGGCCGCCGAAGCGAGGGAAAAGCGGCGCTTGGCTTTGAAATCGATTCGATGGCGATTCTCTTTTCCAGTGGAAACACGATTTTTAAACGAAACCTCCTTTTCCTTCGGGAAACGTTGTCAGGCCAAAGGCAGCTCCCGGTGACGGCGGATTAGGTTCATCCGGAGCAGGGGCTGGGATTTTTTTAAAGCGCAGGAAGGGGTGGGGGCCGGTGCGCGGGTCCTGCGCAGATTTCTGCTGCATAGTGCCCGCCAGTACTCCCCCTACCGCAGCCCCTGCCTGAGAAGGGCAAGGGGGCTCTATCCCCAGTTTGTCTACACGGGGTATTGAGCTGAAAAGCGCTGGTGGAATCCTGGCTCCGGAGTCAAATCGATTGTATTCCGCTTGGGAAGTGCCTTTGTTATTCTGCAATAAAGTGCCTTCGCTTCTGGACGAGCCCGCTCAGGAGGCGAGGCGCTATTGTGCCGTTGATTGCACAGTAGCAATTGCAGTCAATTTCGCCGTGTAGACAAACCCATAAACGCGCTGCGGGCGCCCGGGCGCAATCAGCCCGCTCGGCTGCTCCTGCTCCCGCTCCGAGCGTTTCCCGGCTCGCTGGGCGATTAGACTGTCCCGTTCCCTCGCTCGGCCCCGTCCGTGCAGCCAGTCTCCATCTTCCATCAGTTTCCCTTCTGCTGCGCACCGGTCCCAGGGGCTTCCTGCAACATGCAGCGATTTCTGGTGGCAGCTAGGTGCCTAAATCTCCTAGGCAGCCTTGGGAAAGGCCAGCTCCTGCCCACTGCCGGGAGCGCAGAGCTGATCGGTCCTTTGTCTCTCCCACCCCCGCCGCCGCCGCCTGGCCCCCCAGGAGG